AGCAGCTTGGTAGTTCACTGCAACCTCCGACTCCTGGCTTGTGGGCATCCCGCTGCCTCAGCCTCCGGAAGCTGCTGGGATTAGAGGCACTCGCAGCGGCACCCAGCTGGGTTTTTCCATTTTTTTCATGAGTCGGGGTCTCACTTTCGCTCAGGCGAGTCTCGAACTCCTGAGCTCCAGCGATTCTCCCTCCTCAGCCTCCCACAGTGCTGGGATTACAGGCGTGAGCCACTGTGCCCGGCAACATTCTAAAGTCTTAAAAAAGAAATCAAAGCTGTACTTCTCTATCTTTCTTCTCTTATATCCTTTTTAAAAAACCAGTCTAGTTTCTAAGCTTCTGTAGAATATGAAAAGAGATGTACTTTCATTTCCTTCTGATTGTTGACATATGACTGAACAACCGGGAGAACAAACCCTAGGTCTCAATTTCAAGTCTCATCTTTCTACATATAGTTGTGTCAAAAGAAGGGGTATAAATGGATGCCACACATGCGTACATCCATACATGTACGCACGTTTGTATCACAGCCCCATTTGTGGGCTGTGACATAGTAGTATCAGACATGGTTGGACACTGAAAGATCCCAGAGAAAGGTAGCAAAGTATGATACTGATACAATTAATGTATATACATTGGTTTTATACCAGCTTAACCAGAGATCTATGTAAATAGAGTCCAACGTAAAGCCTAACATCTTATGCTGGATGTGGAAGCTCTCCATAGGTATGTTAGTAGATTGACAGGCACAGCAACAAGCTCTGAAGAAACTACTCTCTGGCTGTCTCTCTAACCTCATCTACTACCAACTCAATCTCCCTCCACTCCTGCCATACTGAATCCACTACTCCCGGAAGAAACCCAATATGCTCTCAACTCAGGGCCCTTTACTTGCCTTTCTTCTATCCTGGGACCCTCAACCCCATCTATCACCATGGATCACTCGCCCACTTCATTTAGTCGATGGTTAAATGGCATCTCCTCAGAGAGGCAGTCCAGTCCCTAAATCCCTTACCTAAAATAGCACTCCATCTCATACCACCCACGATCCTCCACACTTACCCTGCTGTACTGTTCTTGAGTGTACTCATCACCATCTGACTTTAGAGATTTGCTTATTATTTATACCAGTTTCCTCCCATCAGACAGTAAACTCAATGATGGTAGTTTACCTGTTGTTATTAATACTTTTTCTCATGCCTCTAGTACCTCGAAGAACACCTGACACTAAGTACACTGTGAATGTTGACTGAAAGGCAACAACTACTACTGAGCCAGATATTTCATTTCTAAAACTTCCCTATCAGTAAGTAAGCAGTGTGAGTCTGAGAAGAAAAGTCCCCTAAAGCTCTACTCTTTGAAGGAAAAACTGTCCCAAATACAATTCAGGGACCAAAATAAAGAATGAAAAGGAAAAGTAATTTACTGCCTCTATTATCTTCACATACTGCTTCTGCTAAGGTGAACAGTAGGAAGGACTGTTTCTATTCTTTTTTCTAATACTGAAACACTATTTCAAGACACTATTTCAAGACTTCCTTTTCTTTTTTCTTTCTTCTTCTTTTTTTTTTTTTTTTTTTTTTTAGCAGAGTCTCACTCTGTTGTCCCAGGCTACAGTGCAGTGATATCAGCCTAGGTCAAAACAACCTCAAACTCCTGGGTTCAAGTGATCCTCCTGCCTCAGCCTTCCAAGTAACTGGGACTACATGTTCCTGCCATGATGCCCAGCTAATTTTTTTCATTTTGAATAGAGACCAGGTTTTGCTCTTGTTTAGACTGGTCCTTAACTCCTGGGCTCAAAAGATCCTCCACCACTGGCCTTCTAGAGTGCTAGGAACACAGGTGTGAGCCACTTGCCATGGCCTTAAAGACTTTTTAAGAAATGAAAAATAGGCTGGCCCAAAGACAGTGAGTTATCTCACTTGAAGTTGGTTACAGATTGAATTCATTGTTCTACTCTTTCCCCTCTCTCACTATTGCACTTTAGTCTTAAATGAAAAAAAGAAAAAAGAGAGAGACGAAAAATAATCAGTACCAGAGCACAAACCTTAAAACAATTCATAAAGATCTATTAAGGCCCTTACAAAACATTCATTTACTTTTAAAAAATTGACTATTAAAATCAATAGAAATAATCACATATTATATGGCCCTGGATATGATCTAAATATAAGATACACACAACATCACACACAGATTATCTTTGTGCAAATGTTTAATCCGAACATAATCAAGCATCTATAATTTACTAGGAATGTGGCACTACTTAAAATTGTGTAATTATGCACACATGGTGAACAAATGTGGCAAATGTTCATCATTATTCAAGCTAGGCTGTGCATTTATAACATACAGATATTTCTTCTTTTTTTGAGACAGAGTCTCACTATGGTGCCCTCAATAGAGTGTCATGGCATCACAGTTCACAGCAACCTCAAACTCTTAGGCTTAAGCGATTATTTTGCCTCAGCCTCCCAAATAGCTGGGACTACAGGCACCTGTCACAGTGCCTGGCTATTTTTTTTGTTGCAGTTGTCATTGTTGTTTTAGCTGGCCCAGGCCAGGTTCAAATTTGCCAGCCTCAGTTTATGTGGCCAGTACCCTTATCCACTGAGCTACGGGCGCTGCCCAAAAATATATAGATATTTCTTATACATGCTATTGTTCTTTCAATTTTTCTACATATTTGAAAACCTTGATAGCAAAAAGGCTGAGTGAGGTGGCTCATGCCTGTGATCCTAGCATTCTGGGAGGCCAAGACAGGTGGATCACCTGAGCTCAGGAGTTTGCAACCAGCCTGAGCAAGTGCAAGACCCCACCTCTAAAAATAGCTGAGCATTGTGGCAGGCACCTGTAGCCCCAGCTACTCAGGAGGCTAAAGCAAGAGAATAGCTTGACCCCAAGAGTGTGAGGTTGTTATGAGGTACGATGCCATGGTACTCTACTGAGGGTGACAAAGTGAGTCTCTGTCTCAAAAAGGAAAAAACCAAAAACCTTTCCCCTCAAAGTCAATGCAAAGAGAAAGGAGAAAATTATTCCAGACTATAAAAGACTAAAGAAATAACAACCAAATACAGTGAATAAATATTGATTGAATCCTGGGTCCAAAATAAGCACTCTAAAAGATATTCAGTCAACAATTAGGAAGATTTAAACATAACTAAGTGGCTCGGTGCCTGTGGCTCAAGTGGCTAAGGCGCCAGCCACGTACACCCAAGGTGGCAGGTTCGAATCCAGTCCGGGCCCACCAGACAACAATGACGGCTGCAACCAAAAAATAGCTGGGCATTGTGGTGGGCGCCTATGGTCCCAGCTACTCCGGAGGCTAAGGCAGGAGACTCACTTGAGCCCAGGAGTTGGGAGGTTGCTATGAGCTGTGATGCCACGGCACTCTACCCAGGGGGATAGCTTGAGGCTCCTGTCTCAAAATAAATAAATAAATAAATAAAAAATAAACATAACTAAGTATTAGATATTAGGGGATTATTATTAAATTTCTTAGGTGTACTAGCAGTATTGTGGTGATATAGAAAAATGTCATTATTCTTAGGAGATAAATGCTAAAGCACTTAGGGGTAAAGAGGCACAACACCAGCAGCTTCTTGAAATGGCTCAGAAAAAAATCAGAGCAAAGGAGACAAAAAGATAAGGCAAATATGATAAAATGTTAACATTACTAATCTTACACAGTGAGTATATGGGAGTTCCTTGTTCAATTCTTTTAATATTTTATACAAAGTTTGACATTTTTCATAATATTAATAGAAAAGTTTTGAAAATGAACACAAGATATTTTAGGTGTAGGATTCACAGCCATTGTGATTATTGCCCTTTTAAACAAGGGTAGCTCAGCAGCAAGTGTGTCCTCTGATTTATTCACTTAATGTATTACATAATAATATACCTACCTAATTGAGAATTAAGGTGTTGCATACACGTTCCAAAAAATTCATCTCTTTGAGGTGGATCATAGTTCAAGACGCTGAATGGGAGAATAATAGCAAAGATTGCAAAAGGTTGGATCTGTTTAAAAAGGAAAAAATTATAATTTAAATTTCAGTAAAACAAAACAAAATTTTAACCTAATTATTATTTAAGGTAAAGTCTTTTCCTAACATGCCTATCATTAAATAATAAATGTATCTCTGCTTATTATTTTTTCTATCCTGCTATAATCATTTAACCCCACCACCAATTATTAGTAACTCTAAAAGTGTTAATGCAGGAAAAAATAAGTAATATCAAAGGATTATAGAAAATTTTTAAAAAGGATGGCTGGGCACAGTGGCTCACGCCTACAGTTGTAACATTCTGGGAAGCCAGGATGGGAGGACTGCTTAAGGCCTGGAGTTCAAGACCAGCCTGAGCAAAAGTGAGACATCATCCCTACAAAAAATAGAAAAATTAGCTGGCTATAGTGGCTATAGTCCTCAGCAGGCTGAGGCAGGATAACTGCTTAAGCCCAAGAGTTTGTGGTTACAGTGAGCTATGATGATACCCCTGCATTCTAGGTTGGGCAACACAGCAAGACTCTGTCTCAAAAAAAAGAAAAGGAAAAACAAAGGCCAGGCACAGTGGCTCACACCTGTAATCCTAGCACTCTGGGAGGCTGAGGTGGGTGGATCGCTTGAGCTCATGAGTTCGAGACCAGCCTGAGCTACAGTGAGACCCCCATCTCTAAAAATAGCCAAGTGATATGACAGGTGCCTGTAATCCCACCTACCTGGGAGGCTGAGGCAAGAGAATCTCTTAAGGCCAAGAGTTTAATGTTGCTGTGAGCTGTGACATCATGGTAGTCTACTGAGGGTGACAAAGTGAAACTCTGTCTCAAAAAAAAAAGGGGGAGGCGGCATCCGTAGCTCAGTGGGTAGTGCACTTGGCCACATACACTGAGGCTGGTGGGTTTGAACCTGGCCCAGACCAGATAAAACAACAATGACAACTGCAACAACAACAATAAAAAAATAGCTGGACACTGTGGCGGGTGCCTATAGTCCCAGCTACTAGGGAGGCTAAGGCAAGAGAATTGCTTACGCCCAAGAGTTTGAGGTTGCTGTGAGCTGTGATGCCATAGCACTCTACTGAGGGCAACAGCTTGAGACTGTCTCAAAAAAAAAAAACAATAAAAAGCAGAAAACCAAAACATTCATACTCCACTATCCCACTACAACTAGAATCCTCAAAAAATTGTGGTTATTGATCTTAACAATATTGTAATGAACCAAAAGATGACTGCTGATCTCCCCAAATCTGCAATGTCAGAGGAAGAAAATGACTTGAAGGGGAGAAACAAAAAATTGCTGAATAAGAAGCCCGAGTTCAGTTTTAGGGTGTTTTCAAAGTTCAGTCTTTAAAGTTTAAATTCTAATCCATGTAGAAGTACTTATAAAAATTATGCTTCTAGAAGCTGACAACTGTATTGAACTAATGTGTGACAATTAAATTTCACCTTTTCAATCTGCTGAACAACCACTGAGGCTATCCTATCAAGTAGCAAAGTACTGAGGTAGTTAGTTCTTGAAATAAAAGATGCAATCCCTGCAACATTTTTGTAATTAATTTCTTCCATCAAACGCTGTAACGTAGCAATTGTTTCTTTCAGAAGTGAGTCAAGAAGCCAGTCTCCTTTGGAAAATCTAAGATCCTCCCATAATAGGTTTAAACTGTTGCTTTGTTGTAGTATCTGATGACCACAGTCATTTAATTTTTTAAGTAGTTTCAGTTGTTTCATAGTAGTAATACTACTCGAATACATATGATCATGCTGAATCCATTTTAAAATAGATGTGGCAAAATAATTGAGGTCATTTAGGTGACACTGTGGTAAAACTTCTTCAATTCGCAACATCCCCACTTCATCTAGATGAGGAGAAGGAAGCAAGGAAAGAGCACAGACCAGAATGGAAATCTCATGTGGTATGAAACTAATTTTCAAGTAACTACGAAGGAAAAAGAAAAAATAAAATTAACCCATCAGTAATAAAACCAAAACACATTATGTATTAAAATATGAATATATATTATTACTATAATTAATAAGTAAGATAAGCTTAAGATACAAGTTAATCTAAGAAGAGTTAGGTAAATTCAAAGCCAACAGGGCCATAAAGGGTTTCTGAAAGAAGCCTAAGATGTTCTGAAGCACATTCCAAATTTTTTATGCAAAAATAAAATCAAAGTCTCTGGCAAACAAAAGGCCAGGGTCAGAATAATGTTTCCAAAGCTGTTGCTGAAAAAGAACTTAGGCTCTACTTCTTTTATTTATTTTTTTTTTCTTTTTTCTCTCTTCCTCCCACCCCACCCTCCCCAATTTCTGATGCAATCTGGCAGGAGCTAGTATGACCTCCTATAGGCCTGGCATAAAGTCATCGTTGGTTTCCTTCTCATTTCTGGTACAGAGTAAGTCTAACATTTAAAACAAAAACAAACAAAGAACAACAACAACAAATCATCACAGGACATACAATTGATGCCATTCTCTACTCCTCCTTTCCAAAATCCCCACAGTAAGAGTCTAACCACCAAGACTACAGTTGTTTAAAAAATAAATAAAGGCCAGTGCATTGGCTCACACCTATAATCCTAGCATTCTGGAAGGTAGAAATGAGAAGACTGCTTGAAGTCAGGAGTTGAAGACTACCCTGAGCAAGAGCGAGTCCCCATCTCTACAAAAATCCAAATACTAGCAGAGTGTGGTAGTGCCCAGGAGTTGAATTTGCAGTGAGCTATGATGATGTCACTGCACCCTAGCTGGGGTGACAGAGTGAGACTCCGTCTCAAAAATAAATAAATAAATAAATAAATAAACTAAAAGCTTTCAAAGAATCTTTATGTTGAGTAGTGGATTGGCCAGGCATGGTAGCTTACGCCTGTAATCCTAGCACTTTGGGAGGCAGAGGCACATGAATAGTTTGAGCTCAGGAGTTTGAGACCAACCAGAACAAGAACAAGACCCCACCACCACTAAAAATAGAAAAAATCAGCCAGATCTTGTGGTGGGTGCCTGTAGTCCAGCTACTCAGGAGACCAAGGCAAGAAGACCGCTTAAGCCCACCAGGGGATTGAGGTTGCTATGAGCTATGACACCACAGCACTCTACCCCAGGGAGACTGAGGGAGACTGTCTCAAAAAAAAAAAAAAGTATATTAATACATTCTGAATTAAAACAAAAATGAGTTACTTTTAATAATATTAAATTAGCATGCTAAAATAATCATAATATTCAATGCTAGCAAGGGTATGCTGATACAGGTATTATCATTCACTATCAGTAAACTTACTAAGTTGCTGTATTTTTTTCTTAAAAGCATTTTGGCACTGTGGCTCAAGAACTTTGAAAGTATAATATCATTTGACTAACCTAATAAAATAATACAAAGTCCAGGCAATAATTTGTGTTGTTACTTATTGTATTTGTTTTTTTTTTTTTTTTTTGTGATGGAGTCTTGCTATATTGCCTGAGATAGTCTTGTATTCCTGGGCTCAAGCCTCCTCCCACCTCAACCTCCTGAGTAGCTAAGATTATAGGTATACATCACATGCCCTATCATATTTTTTATATGAGCTAAAATGTAAAAACACTGTAAATAATGATGGAGAATAATTATAAATGAATTATGGTACAGTACATGACGAGTATTAATCAGCCATTAAAAAGATTTATAAAAAGTTCTTAATAATACGGGGAATGTCTATAAGTAAAAAGGCAAAATAAACCAAACAAAAACAAAAAAACTGTATGCTCGTTATTCTTACATATGAAAGAAAAACATACAATATGTAACATATAACATGGAAATAAAACAAATTATTGACTGGACGAATGAGTTTATGAATGATTTTCATTTTCTTTATATTTTTTCTATTTTCCAATTTTCTTTTTTTTTTTTTTTTTGAGACAGAGTCTCACTGTGTCACCCTCGGGAGAATGCTGTTGTATCACAGCTCACAGAAACCTCTAACTCTTGGGCTTAAGCGATTCTCTTGCCTCAGACTCCCAAGTAGCTGGGACTATAGGCACCCGTCACAATACTTGGCTATTTTTGTTATTGTTGTTGTCATTGTTGTTTAGCTATTTTCCAAAATTTTCAAAATGATTTTTATATATCACATGGCTTGGTACCTGACACAAGTATGTACTCAGTATTAAATAAATATTTTATTCCTATAATCAGAAAAAATAAATAAATACACTATTTATATATAAGCAAAAGAAACCCCTCAAAAAGCTACATTGTTTGTGGAACTGATCCAAGGGCCAGAACTCTGAATATTCACAAATCTTGTAATACTTTTCTAAAAGTAAACCCCCAATAGACACAATCTCTCCAATCTCCACCTGGTGTTTTTCTTTGTGATATTTCTTCAATTTTCAAAGTGTAGATATGCATGTGTATTTACTTACAATACCATAGCATACCCATCAGAGCAGCTAAAAGTAAAAAGTAAAAAAATGCTAACTGTTGGTGAGGGTACAGAGAAAACAGGAATGCTCACATTCTGCTGGGGGGAGTATAAATTGGTATAGCCACTTTAGAAAATGTTTGGCAGAATCTACTGAAGATGAGTATATGCATATCCTCTGAACCAACAATTATACTCTTTAGTAAATATCCACAGAAATACATACATATGTCCACTAAAAGATACCTACAAAGATGTTCCTAAACAGCACTTTTCATGACAGCCAAAAACTGGAAATAAATCAAATATCTGTCAACAGTAGAATTGATAAATATTGTTATATTATTATAAGAGAACGCTATGTAGCAAAAGTATGCAGAAATCTCATAAACTTAATGTTAAGCAAAAGAAGCCAGACCCCAAAGAAATCATACTATATGATCCCATTTATATAAAATACAAAGGCAAAACTAATCCATGCAGTTACAAGTAGAGATAGTGGTTACCCCTGGAGGTGGGAACAGGGCAGTAAGGAAAGCGTATGTATATAGAGTATATTCAATAAGTTAGAAAACAATGGCAGACCCTATTCCAGTACACAAACTCTTTGGATTCCAGAGCTATTTCAGTAGACCTTTATATAAGCATTTGTGTGAGTTATGAGTTCAATTAGATTACATTCTTTCTAATATCTCCTTGAGATTATCTACACTGAAATGAAAGATAATTCTTTTTTTTTTTTTTTTTTTTGAGACAGAGCCTCAAGCTGTCCCCCTGGGTAGAGTGCCATGGCATTACAGCTCACAGCAACCTCCAACTCCTGGGCTCAAGCGAGTCTCTTGCCTCCGCCTCCCAAGTAGCTGGGACCACAGGCGCCCGCCACAACGCCCGGCTATTTTTTGGTTGCAGCCATCATTGTTGTTTGGCGGGTCCAGGCTGGGGATTCGAACCCGCCACCTTAGGTGTACATGGCTGGCGCCCTAGCCGGTTGAGCTATAGGAGCCGAGCCATGAAAGATAATTCTTAAGCAGAAAAGCACCTGCAATTTTTATACATCTCCCAATTTTTAAATATTAGCCAATAACTTAAAATATTTTTTTTTAGACAGAGTCTCACTCTGTTGTCCAGAATAAAATGCCATGGCCTCAGCCTACCTCAGAACAACTTCAAAGTCCTGGGCTCAAGTGATCCTCCTGCCTCAGCTTCCCCAGTACCTGGGACTACAAACAAGTACCACCACACCCAGATAATTTTTATATTTTTAGTAGAGACAGGGAGTCACTCTCACTCAGCTTGTCTTGAACTCCTGACTTCAAGCAATCCCCCTGCCTGCCAGATGCTAGGATTACAGGCGTGAGCCACCACACCTGGCCAAAAACTCAAAATAATTTTTTTTTAACAATAGGAATAAGTTCTGAGAACAAAATAATTGTTCATACTATTTTAAACTACAGAAATACCTAAGGGCTCTCATTACTCAGAATTTAATAAACTTTTTTTTTTTTGAGACAGAGTCTCACTATGTCACCATAGGTGTGCTGTGGCATCACAGCTCACAGCAACCTCAAACTCTTGGGCTCAAGCAATTCTCTTGCCTCAGCCTCCAAAGTAGCTGGGATTAGGTGCCCACCACAATGCCTGGCATTTTCTTGTTGCAGTTGTCATTGTTGTTTAGCTGGCCCGGGCCAGGCTCAAACCTGCCAGCCTCGGTGCATGTGGCTGATGATGTAATCACTATGCTACAGGTGCCAGAATTTAATAAACCTTTAACACTATCATATTTGTTTCAAGTCTTTTTACAAAGGAAACAAAACATCACAGGAAAGTGAAATCCCCTTTGATGTTCATACTCCTGCTCTTATTTTTCTGTTAATGTACTTATAAGCAAACAGTATTGAACCTAAAAAAAAAAAAAAAACTGTGCAAACTCAATAAATCATGTCCGGGTCATTTTAATATCTAATTGAGAACATAATTTTCTTTCTTTCTTTTTTTTTTTTTTGAGACGTTGTCCCACTTTGCTGCCCCAGGCTACAATGTCATGACTTTAGAACTCACAGCAACCTCAAACTTTTGGGTTCAAATGATACTCTTATCTCAGACCTGAGTACCTGGGACTACAGGCATTTGCCACCTTGCTGAGCTAATTTTTTTATTTTCAGTAGAGACAGGGTCTCACTTTTGCTCAGACTGGTCTCAAACTTCTGAGCTGAATCTATCTCCCCACCTAGACCTCCCAGAGTGCTACAATTACAGATGTGAGCCACTGCTTCCAGGGAATATAAAATTTCTGCTTCAGAGGCACTCTATGTGAAATTAAATACTAAATGCAGAAAGGGTGAAGAAACAAGAAGCATGCACCTAATCATTTTAATAATAATAAGAAAGAAAGTCATGGCTCAGCCACTCTAGCTCAGTGGCTAGGGTGCCAGCTACATACTGGAACTGGTGGGTTCGAACACAGCCCGGTCCTGCTGAACAACAATGACAACTACAACCAAAAAAATAGCAGGGTGTTGTGGAGGGCGCCTGTAGTCCCAGCTACTTGGGAGGCTGAGGCAAGAGAATTCCTTGAGCCTAAGAGTTTGAGGTTGCTGTGAGCTGTGACACCTCAGCACTCTACTGAGGGTGACATAATGAGACTCTGTCTCAAAAAAAATAAAAAAGTCATTTCTTTAAGAGAAGAGTAAATTTTCTTATAATATTCTAATATGCTATATTCTTAATTGATAAAATGTCACTTCTTAGGCCAGTTATGGTGGCTCATGCCTGTAATCCTAGCACTTTGTGAGGTCAAGGCAGGAAGATTTCTTGAGGTCAGGAGTTTCAGACCAGCCTGAGCAACATAGCAAAACCACTATCTCTACAAAAATAGAAAAATTAACTAGGTAAACACCTATAGTCCGAGCTACTTGGGAAGCTGAGGCAGGAAGATCATTTGAGCCCAGAAGTTGGAGGCTGCATTGAGTTACGATGATGCCGCTGCATTGAGTTACGATGATGCCACTGCACTCTACCCCAGTCAATAGAGTGAAACTGTCTTTAAAAAAAAAAAATCGGAATAATACCTTAAATGCAGTTCAAACAAATTGATCTTTTTTCTCGCTATTGTTCACTACTAGTTTGATTTCTTATTGCAAATTCTTATTGTGGACCCAGACCTCAAGCGATCCTTCTGCCTCAGCCTAAAATCTCAAGTAGGATTATAGGCATGACCCCACTATACCTGGCCCACTACTCTGATTTTTTAAAATAAAAATTATTAATGTAAAATCCCATGTTAGCTTTATGAAAGTCAATGCAAAACTGAGTAACTTCCTGGCTGAAATACAAATGCTATATGCACAGAAAATAAAGTAATTTTAAATAATGCGATAACATTTCTTCACTAACATCACCATTACATATCTTAATTTTAAAATTTGAAGTTTAAAAATTTAATAAGCCATTCCAGATTGCATGTGAAAACCCCACACTGTACCCAAGAAGAGCATTAATGTACATAGTTACCATTCAATAAAAAAAAAAAGGAAAAAAAACTTTAATAAGCTTTTAAACAAGCAAGTAAAGAAGCTGAAGGGCCCTAAATGTGAGTGCTCCCAGATGAAGACTTGCCTTCCTCAGCACCTCAACCTTCTGTTATTTATTCCTACAGGAAAAGAGAACTGGTTATTCATCAGTTAGTTTACTACCATTCCTAGGGAACACAATCACCTTACTGGCCTCATCTCCATTTCAAAATATACTAAGCACAGCGCAGCACCTATGGCTCAAAGGAATAGGGTGCTGGCCCCATGTGCTGGAGGTGGCAGGTTCAAGCCCAGCCCTGGCCAAAAAC